AACAGGTGTCGTTCACGATGATGTACACGTAGACGTACTCCTTAGCACGTTGAATTTGAGCTTAAACACATGTTCCATTATTGATCAAATATACTTAAGTAAATAAGCAAGATAAATGCTTTTAAAAGAGGACAATACGGAACAATGAGTAAATTTATGTAGAGAGAAATAGACCATGCTCTTTTATACATCTAGAGATTCATCTCTTTAAAATGTTTCAAAGAACGCTATTTATAGTGATCAGGCCGATGTTGTCACCGTTGAATTAGATCTACGTGGCTTGATTTGCTAGATCCTGGTTTCGCATCATCCGATCTTACATTAATTATATTGACAGACGTTTGACAAGGGATCAATCGCCCTATACTCTTACATTCATGATATCTATTTAATGAGGACGTCACATCAATCAGTCCTAAAGATACATTTATCAGACCCACTTATGAGAGTCAAGGACCTCAGATTGAAGGGGTTCGACAGAAAGGAGAAAATTACTTCGACTTGACGTAAAAAAGACCACTTGAGGGAGCTTCAGTTGAGGGACCTCGGATATTAGAGAGGACCATTCCGGAGCACTTCAAAAACCTTTTCTTTATAAAACCGTTGAGTGCCATGTGTAAGCACATGGGACTTCCACGTGGTCACATTACATTTGGTCAACAACACGTGTGAATGAGGTTGTCTGCATATAGTCTATCAAGATGGAACTTTGCTGGCGAGAAGAATCATAGGTTGATATTTTTTAGCACTATCAAGATTTATAGAGTTACAAGGTGATGTTTGAGTTGCGCATTAGAGCTCTACTCACACTTCAATGACTCATGTTCTTCGAATACGATGTGTACGTAAAACAATTATAGAATAATAATACTAAACAGTATTTGTAAAGTGTAATTCCAGAATGGTCGGTAGTACCTGCACTCGCTTATTTGTGAAAGATGTAATGACACCCTCAATTAACTTGAGAACAGAATATTTATCTTCACTGGTTCACAAATTATTATACATATAGTTGCTACAAATCGAAGTTACATGGACAATAAATCACACCCTAAATCGTTCTGAAACATTCCTCTGTAATATCTGATGCATCATATATTTCTTCTTTTGAATAAACTGACCTTGAGACCATGTTTCATTTGAATTATAATAGAATCATTAGGAGAAACTGGATGATTTTCCACCACTTGAATATGGTAGTTATAGATAATTGTAGCTGCAACCATTTTCATCTGGATGAAAGACATGTCTTTTCCTAGACAGGTTCTTGGTCCGGCATTAAATGCTGGGAACTTGAACGATGGTTCGTGCTTGATTCCTCCTCTTTCATCGGAAATCCATCTCTCGGGCTTGAATTCTAAGCAATCCTTTCCCCAAATCTTTTCCATTCTTCCCATTGAATAGAAAGAGAGCAGCAGCTTTTTGTTTTGATTAATGCGGTGACCACTTGGGATAGTATCTTGTTGAATTGGAGCTTTGTGTTCAAAAGCCACAGGAGGGAACAGCCTTAGAGACTCGCATATAGCCCCGTGGAGGTAGACTAATTTACGCGACTCCTCTACATTGAAAAATCTCCATTTCTTATCCTTCGTGGCGTGCAATTTCGTCTCGATTTCTTCTAGTATCTTGGATTCTGCGGACGAGTTAGTCGAAACGAGCCAGAGTAGCCAAGTAAGAGAAGTGCTTGTGGTGTCTCTGCCTGCTAACATCAAATTCAAAAAGGTGTCCCTTAGAAAGTCTATTGAATCACCAGGAGCAACATTTTTTTCTTTACATGCCTTTCTAAAGGCTGTTAAGAAATTAAAATCGTAGTCTTGTTCTTCGATTACTTTTTCGTTTGAAACACGCGGATATACAAATTGATCAAAAGCTTCCCAAGCTCTTATGAGCTTCTTTTCTTTTCCAATTCCCAGCCATTTTTGCAGCTTCCAAATGCTTTCTGGCAAAATGTGCCTGTGCAACAAGGCTTCCACAGCATCATTGAACGCCTTCTCACATGGAATATAAGGTAAATCAATAGACAAACTCCTAGGATCATAATTCAGTACCAATTTACAGATACTATCAAAGGTGAACCTCTGCAAAATGTCTTGCAAATCGACCTCCACTCCTCGTTCAACGAAATAGTCGAGCACGGGTATAAGTCCATTTTCGACCTTGTACCAAACAGCCCTCTCCAAGAAAATATTGAACTTGGCATTACTCATGATTGACAAAGTTGTTCTCCTGTGAAATTCCCACAGTTCAGAATCAGCATTGAAAATCCCATCTCCCAGAATATCAAATATTTTTCTGAATTCGGGGCCCTTTGGATAGTTTGCAAAATTTTTGCTCAAGATATAGTGGATATTTGCAGGATCACAAGTGACCACCATGTCCATATCACCAAACCAGGGCCCTTTAACCTCAACTGTTCCCCCCGATTCATCAAGCATATCTGTCGTAAAATCATGGATTCGATGCGCATTTCGAAGAATTCCCGGCAACATGCCAACCAGAGGCCAATCTGTTGGCATGGAGCTTTTGTTCCAACTTCTAATTCTAAAGAAATAAAGGATAATTATGCATAGCAGAATCAAAAAAATCTCAGGGTATCCAAAAAAGATGGCCATTAAAGTCAAGAGGTATATGAATATCGGATACTTTCTGGTTTTAACATAACCGTGCTCTTGCCGTTTAAAGCAGCATATAATATTCATGTTTCCACTGGCGGACCCAGTGGGGGTTGTGGATTCACATGACCCCTTAACTTTTGAGATTATTTTATTTATTTATTTATTTATTTGAAATAAAGTGCTATTTGGTAACGATTGAAATATAAATTTTTAATTTAAATCAAAGTTACTATTTAATTTTAATAACATATTTCATGACATCCTTAACTTTTATCAAAATTTACTAAAAATCTAATCTTAATCCTGACTAAACAGGGATAAAATCACAATAAATTTGAATTTTTTCTCTTTTCTCTTGCTCTTACTCTTTTCCTTACGTCTTTTATTAAAACTTTAACCTTTTTAATTTTTTAAAATTTGTCTATAATTTCTCCACAAATTATTACATTCACTACAAATTTTCAACTAATTAGTATCTAAATTTGTATTTTCTCCTATTCTATTTGTGTATATAGAATTTGTCTGAAATGATTCTATCCAATTAACTTATCTTTAAAAAATTGTGTTTATTTGACTGATTATTAATATTAAATATTAGTCATATATTTTTTCTTTCAATTACTCGAGTTGATTGTTTGTATCAAATACGCTATAAATTTTTTAAACGTAAATATGTATTTTCTTGTGATAGGTAAAATATTAATAAAATGACTATTCGAAATTAAATGGATGAAAATGATTAGCAAAATATTAATGAAGAAATATTTATAAATGTAAATATGTATTTTTTTCTGATTAAGCATGAATTATTTAAAAATTTAGAACAAAATATTCGATTTGTACAGAGTTTGATTATGCCCCCTAATTCAAAATATCTGCGTCCACCCCTATATGATTCTAATTTATCATATGTTGCTATCTGCTTCTTTATTATACTATAATAATTTGATTTTATAGCATAATTAGGTAACCTTTGGTTTGCAAAGCAATTTTTGCTTTCTGGTTTAAGACGAAAACTAGTTGCAGTATTAAACACGATAATGCCGTGGCTACTTCGATTGTTAACACCTTCGCTTGGATTCTAGAACTATAGTATTTGCAAGTAAGTGAGAAAACGACAATTGTACAACTGCTTGTATATACTCCTGGGGAAAGTATTTTAGCGTTTTGCATAAAAGAGAAACAAGAGAACAGTGCATGCACATGCATTTCGTCGTAAGATATTTCAAAATTCATATATTTATTTCTGTTCTGATGTAAAACTATAGGATAATTATCAATGATTATTTGATCTTGTGAGCATACTTAGGGAAATCTTATATACTCTTTAAAAGCAAAAAATAAAAATAAAATTATTTAGAAAGTAAAATCATTTGAACGATGTAAATATGAGTCCATGTTGTAATAAAATTATACACTTGATTTTTGTTACATTTTCGTTATTTATGATATACAAAAAATTTAGTCTTGATATTTATTTTGTTAGAGAAAAATACACTTCTCTTATGTTTCCTTCATTCTCTATTAAGGGATGTGTTATCTCACGTCGATTTAATATCGAAATAAATACCAATTTATAGAGATCTTGAAATTCTCTACTTAATAAGATTGATCTTATTAAAATGGACCTCAAGTTTTAATATGGTATCAGAGCCACTTATGAATTTCAAGATTGGTCTGTTCAAATGAGCCACAATCTTGAGGGAGCCTATTAAGGGATGTATTATCCCACATTGATTTAATATTGAAATAAATGCCAATTTATAAAGATTTTGGACTTCTTCACTTAATAAGGTTGACTTTATTAAGATAGACCCCAAGTCTTAACATTCTCAACACAAAATTGAAGACGGAATGAACTTTGTATTGTCAAGAGGGCCAATGACATATTTGGTGGATTGAAATGAATAGTAGAATTTATAAACATTGTAAAAGTCTAATTTATTAGGGTAATTGGGAAAATTGTATAGGGTAGTCATAGGTGTTGTGTTGAAAACGCATGTATGGTTGCCTTTTTTTTTTGTTTATCGTCAAGTTCCAATGAAAAGAAGCCACCTCACCCTGTATTTTCTCTATACAGATTTTCAATGTATTAGCATGTTAAATTTTATTCAATAAATGATATTCAACATTCTCTTGAAAGATTATGTACATACGTAAACATCCAAAGAGAAAACGACCCAAGGATTGCACTGCAGGAGATAAGATTATTACATAGTAAGGGTCCCAACAGAAACCAATTTTGGACCAAGCATTCTCCAACTTGGCTAAAAATCCACGCACCATGACAACTAAGGTCATTGCAATGCATTTGTGCAGTTGTCGCCTTCAATGATAAATGGACAGCAATTGGGCCTATGTGGCCCCATTTGAGAATAATTATTCTCGAACTTGATTTCATCTATGTATCATCGTTATCCACTGACGGTAGTCGATTTATGAAGTAAAAGTCATGGGTAAATCCGTAGTCAGTTGACTAGCCAATCTCATCAATTGCTTTCATACTTGACAAATACTATTAAATTATGTTAGGTGTTCGATGAGACGGGCACGGAAATATAATTAGATGTCTATTCAAATGATCATGCAAGCAATTGCATTAATTGTTGTCACAACAACTTGAAAATTTGTCACAAGTTCTCATCTGCCAACAATTCAACTAATGTTCGATAGTTTCAGAAAATTAAAATCACAGAGCTGTGCACTTCTGGTACCAATACAAAAACTACAAGACATAACTCTAACCAAATTTATTTTCTTAAACAATTCACACTATAACTTAGGTATTGGATTGTGAACGTGCTTCGTTTGAGTAAAAGATTTAGTCGAGTTAAACACGTGACAAGTTTTTGAGTAAAAGATTTAGTCCGGGTAACATATGGTAAATATCTTGTTCAAATGGAAATTGAAAAATTGGAAGATCTTAGTTGATAGAAATCTATCAAACAAAGGTTCAATATTCTAGGTCATTGACTATAAATAGCATTGTTGATAAATTAACGCCCTTTTTATTTTAAAGCACCTTTAGAAGGAAAAAGGAAAGGAAAATCTACTCACGCACTGTCCCTTTGTCCATATGTATGCCAGAAGATATTTTCTCTTGGTGACCAGAATAAAATATTGTGAGGTATTACATTTTGTACTTCTACACGGATACTTTTGCAGATCGACCCATATTGAGATATTGATCTTTCAAGATCGCATTTATTTTTCATGAAAAATATCAAATTTTCATCCAAATTTCTATTTTAGAGTGTTTGATTGCTATTTTTTTTTATTGAAAATATTTTTTAACTTTTGAAAATATATCTAATTTTTCTTGTTTTTAAGGAAAATATTTTTTTGGAGAGTAGATTTTTGTTTTTCTCAAAACAATGAAAATATTTTCTTCTCTAAGTAATATTCTCCATGTCAATCAAATACACTCTTAATTTTAATGTCAGCTTTGAGTAGATAAGTTTATTTATTGAAAACTTTATTGGAGTTCTACAACTTGAGGCCAACTGTCAAATTGTTTCACTAGGGGCACGCGTGGTGTATAAAATGGTGGTGCCGGTCTTTGATTTATTATCTATTTGGTTGGGATTAAAATCAAAATTTTAATAGATTTTGATAAAAATTGATGAATATGTGATTGAAAAGTTGTAAATCTTATAAAATATATTGTTAAAATTAATTATTAATTTTAATTACCACCAAATTACAAGGATTTAGTTTGTTGGACAGTGATTAGAAATGGACAAAATGGCAATGTGTTAATTAGGCTTAGCTATCGAAGTGGTTCTTCACAAATATTTGAAAAAGTTTTGTGAGTAGAAGAATTCAACCATTAAATAGAAGAAGAAGAAGAACAAGAAGAAGAAGAAAAAGGTCATATGAATTAGACCTAACAAGATTTTCAAATAGAAAAATTCAATCATTTAGATTTTGATAATTTCTTTGTAGTGGGGCCGTTTGAAGAAAAACTAGGGTTTTACAAAATCAGAAAATTACTGAAATCATGTTTTTAAATTTCATTAATGAGGCATAATTTTTTTTATTTTTTTTAAAAATCACCTAATCATACTTAGTTCACAATCAGATATTATACAAAGTTACAATCATGCAATTTATAGATCACAATAATTTATTAAAATATATTACTGTCACATACCATTTGGTCACAGTCACAAACCACTTGACCTTTCAAAGTTTTTTAAAAATTTATTAATTTTAAAATTTGTTATGATTTTTTTAAATAATAATAATGATATAAGTATACAGAATGTTTGAATCCTTGTCCAATGTGAATTTAAAGGCAGAGTTCTACTTGGTGTATAGGTAGGGGTTCACAAAACCTCTATTGACACCTCAAATGGAGGGGTGTTAATTTTTGGGCATTGTTTATTCAGGTGGGGTCAGGTCTTTGTAAGTTTTCTGTAAAAATTCTGTGAAAAATAATCTTAAAAGAAGGGGGCTCTGAATTTTCAAAAGCGTGTTCACTTCCTTTTCCAGTTGTTGGATGTGGATGTCGAACCACTTTTGAGGCTGCCATTGCGTGCAATGTGACATCCATCCGAAATGAAAAAGAAAAATAAAGAGTAATGCAATTTAGTCTCACTGATATTGCAATTTCAGTTTAGGTAGCGTTAATGTGCTATTAATTTATAAGTAGAATTAAATAACTTATTTAATTTCATATTTCATTTAACTTATCATCTAATGTTACCTAAACTAGAGCTGCAATTCTAGTAGGACTACGTAGTATTACTCAAAAATAAAAGTTCGGTGAAGGAGATTGTTGAGGAGGCCCACCTCCTAAAACCACTATTATTTATCAAAACCCTTAAAAGTTTTTTTCAAGGAGCAAGATATGTGATAGTATATTAAGGAGTGGGTCTAGTTCATCACTAATAATGTGGAAAAGGAGAACGCAATTGTAGAAGTTTGCTTTATTGAATTACATAGATGATGATAATTTTGGGTAATTGGCACAAATCGTCCATATCTTTCAAGTTCATTGTGGAAAACGTCTCCATCTTTCATTTTTTGACATTTTCGTCCTTACCTTTTACATT